ACACATTTGTATTTAGAAAAATAAAGAATGTTAAAATAGTAACAATTGGAGGGAAAAAGAAAAATAAGAAAAAAAGGCATATACAACATCTCTATATTATATTATTCATATGTCCCAGTTCTCAAAATCCTAATTCATGCAGTGTTCTTGGTTTCACATACGTTGGGGAAATGAGGGTGGGAGGATAGAGGGGGGAGAAGAAAAAAAAGGAAAATAAATTATCAAAGAAAGAAGCCAGGATTGTTGCTAGTTTAGAGAACTGTATCTTTCCTGCTTCCCTTCTCATCCAATAGGTRGGGTTGTCTGTTGTTAGCTGGTATCTCTGCCCTGAGGTGATGAAGGTAACCAGGGTGGGAAGGGTAGTCCTGGTGCAGGGCACCTGGAAGCGGGGAGTGGCACCCCCAGTCCCTGCAGGGAGACTGCACCTCATGGGTTTCTTTTTGGTCCACTGGTATGACTTGAGCACCCAGTCCTATCTCCCTATCTTGCCTGAAGATTTCCTAGCTCCTGGTCTCTCTGTTAGTCTCAAAACTTTTGCCCCATTTCCCTCTCCACTGCAGTTCCCAATGGAGGGTCCTCTCTCGGGGGCTCCTGTGGGCCTTGCCCTGGTCACACTGTGCACCCGTCCCACCTAGAGCTGTTTTCTGTTGGGTAGTTACTGTGCTGAGTTATAGCAGCTGGGGAGAGGGGGGGTGTTGGAAATCACATACCTGGCCAGCTGAAGATTTAATCTGGGAGCTGCCCCCACCAAATATGGCAAGGAAGGTGAGCCAAACTGGAGGCAGTCTGCTTCCAGCGCCGGGGTGTTGAGTGGTGTGGGGGGAACCAGGCGATGGCATCGTGCTTAGGGTAGATAGYAGCTGAGTGGCCTGTGTCAGAGCAAAGCAACATTGGAGTTCTGCAGTGATGCTGATAGATGATCCTGCTAAGGCGCTCGCAAGCCCAGAGTTGGGTGGCGGGAGCTGGGAGTCCTGCTCCAATGCTGAGGCCTGGAACCCCACGCAGGCACAGTGCTGGTGATTTCTTCGCAAGAACAGCTGTACAGTGGTCCTCTATCACTCTCAGAGATGCAGTGTTCCCACTGTGTGAGACCCAGGTCACAGATGGACACAGAAGACGGCCTTCCTCTGGCCCGCCATCTTGGGTTTCCTCAAAAGAGCTTATTCTTAAACAAAATTGACTGTAAGTCAAAAACTTTTAGAAGAGAAAAAAAAAAACCTTTTCATTTATAAACCAATTAATGAGAAGACTGTTTTTTTAAAAAATATGTTAATCAAACAATAGAAACTCAAAATATATGAAGCAATTGTTGACAAAACTGAAGGGAGAAATAGTTCTATTATAATAGATGAAGACTTCAATACCTCATTTCCAATTCTGAGTACAATGGCTGGAGAGAAGATCAATAAGAG